ATCATCTTATTTACCTCCTCAAATTAAGGGTAAATACACTTAATTTAAAACACTTTTTACTTATTTCTAGATGTTTTTTGCAGTATAAGGGCTGCTGCTTCCATTCATTCTGTACAAATCATTTCTAAAAGACTGGCACCTATACGTTTTCATTGTTTACTGTATAAATGTAAGATTTAGAATTTGATGAATTTGCTTTTATTATAAAATAAAATAAAAAATAAAAAACAGAGATATAAGGAGAAAGAAACGGGTAGAAACTGTTTCCCAGAGGACAACATGTTTGCATCTGACAAGGAAAGAAAAGATAAGCCCAGAAATGATTCATGAGGTCTCATCTTATTGTACATTTCAGTGGAGCTGTGTTCAGGGCTGAGGGTCCCTGATAGGAGTGATGAACGGGGCGGAGTCTCACCTTGATCTTTGGTCCTGTCCTTCTGCTCCATGGAGACCAGCGCTGAGAAGTGTGCCTGATCGTACGCCAGGACCAGAGGGGAGCGATGGCACTTGGCAGCCGGCACTTCCAGCGGCAGGTAGATGCCTCCGAACGGGATGGGAGCAAAAGCTGCAGCACAGAAACCAGGAAGTTAAATATCGGAAAAAACGCATCCTGAGTTTTCAAAATGGACACTATGAACTATGAAATTTATCTTAATAAAACATTTATTTTATTTGTTAGAACATTTAAACAATAACGAGTGAAAGTAGCCAGAAGTTCTTCTTTTTTTCAGTCTATTACTATTTCTTTCCTCCAAATAAATCTTCACCAAGGATGTAAAATATACCTGCATCAACAGCTGTATCAAGTAAAGTCAGTATTTCTATAAAATATTTCTATTTATGGATTAGAAAACAGGCTGTATTTAAGAACAATACAAATAAATAACAGAAGAAATCAAACCTCTGGACTGGAAAATGATCTTTTATAATCAGGAAGTTACAGGAGTCAGAAAATTAATCTGATTTCCTGCGGTTTCGTCGTACAGTGTGAGCTGTAGCTGCGTGCGACGATTGAATAAAAATCGCACAGTGTACGCCCAGCTTAAGACGTTTACTTGGTAGTAATATTGTGGGTTAGCAGCCACACACAGAGCTGCAGTTAGCCATCAATCTAGGAGATTACCGTATTTTCACGACCATAAGGCGCACCGTACTAAAAGGCGCAGTCTCAGTTA